ACTAAGTGAGGAAAGCTTGCTTTAACGAATGCCCTTTACGTTCCAAGCGAACGAAACGCTTCAATTCCATTCCATTCCGTCGTATGTTCGCAGTACCAATTCGCAAGGAGTAATTGTGGATTTTGACAATGCCACTTTCTTCCCTGTTCGAACTTTTTCAATATTTCCCAATGTGAACATTTTGAGGCGAGCGCATACCGACGCACTCGAACAGAGAAAAAGCTCACGACCCTTCTCCCTCGATTCAATTTCTGGATTACGCCATTCTTCAATTGCGTTCAAACGAATTTCGCGTACTAATGGACGCTTCCTCGCTATTACAGCACATCGAGCAGGCAAACAAGTTTACGAGCACTTACTCTTTGGCCGCGTCCTACCCGTATGTGCGGATGTATGCATTTTCGAGTATCTAGACGGTTTGAAAAATCAACTGATTCCTCTATGAGAGAAACCTGTCCGTGCATTTCTATCGCCGTTTCGGAATGTTGATAGTATTATACACGGATCGAGGGTATTATCGCTAGAACTGGGTCAAAAATGACCCATTAGCAACTTTTCCCAAAATAGTGAATTTTTAAAATTCGTCTAATTTGGAACGCCTCTAATTTGTCATTTTCACCCAGCCAGGCGTTCTAGCGTTAATTTTCAGCAGTAAATAGTATTAACCTTGTTTTGCTCTCGTATATAAAGCCATTCGCAGTTCCATAAATATTCACATACTTCCACAAAAGAATACCATAAATAATTGAACCGGTGTATACGGAGAATTGTTCCGTTTCCCGTAGCAAACCTCTGTAGCTGAAGAAGCCCTTTGGTCTTGGTCGTGAAAGGTGTAACGAAATAGCGGACTGACGTAAAGGGAATAATTTTGCAACGAATCCTTTACACTTTCGCTACTTCGCCCTATAAAGCGTCCGGTAAACAGAATTAATTTTCTTATCAGACCGTCTTTCCCTCTCGGCCCTATTCTTCCTCCGGCCCGAACCTTCTCTCACTGGTTGTAAATAATTGAACGTTCCATCTCGTCAGCTTCGTGTAGGCAAGATGTTTTCGTTATCCCAAACGAGTCGTTTGGCCGTGAAACGGGGAGTCTTAACACCTCTGTGAAAGCAAAAATTCCTGCTCCCAGGGTAGAGTCTCGGCCTATTCCGTTGCGTGCCTCGCAGTGAGATAAGTGTTCGAACTGTTGGAACACGAGAGCCAAACGTGGAGTGAAAGAAAAAAGAAGGAAGGAAGGAAAGAAAACGGTGAAGGGTGAGAAAATTCGATAGGTAGGGGTCAGGACATCGAGGAGGGATGATAAGCTGGCTTGCCAGGTTTCTACCGGTTCGAGGGGCCGGGTACTATTTAATCCTTAAGTAATTAACGGGATTGATTCACGTCAGAGTCCGATACGGGGCCAAATGCCGTGACGTCTGGTGGTCTTCGATAAATTCCATGCATCCACTTGCCTACGTAGCTAACGTGCATGCCACGCAGGTAGTATACGTGGCGAAGTGGCACGATGCCGGGACTTGCGCCCTTGTTACGCTCCCATGACACGTACACTTGCGATGTAACGGTAACTACAGTTAGTACGTGCTAAGTGTGCACGGCTAGAGATTGCCCTATTGGCAGCTCTACGTATTCCGCGCTCTCGATTATACATACGTGGATAAACATGTCTTCGAACACTGTCGCGCCACACGCATTACGCTCGCTTCTTCTTTTTTTTTTCCTACCTTTCGACCGCTGTGATAAGCAATCCACGTACGAACACCTGCCGGACGGATATTTCGATTCATTATTCAGGTACATCGATGTCGCGCTTCTGTTTGTTCGCGAGACTAACGCAAGGGTAAGTTGTCGAGTTTCGTCCTACCCTTCGATCATCATCGACGGAGTGGATTGAAGTAAGTAAGAAGTTGCTTATACGCGTGATGTAGGTGTTTCTTTGACAAATTTGGGTAATTTTTTGAAAATTTTTTTTTGGTGCTATTTTGGAAACGCCGATGTGAAAATATTAGGTTAATAGATTATGTATGATTTTCGTTAGTATTAGTTTTTAATCGTAGTAATAGAGTTATGACATTTTAGCTAAAATACCTTTCCATACGGTGGTAAGTATATGAAATGGTAATACTGTAACATTTATTCATTTCTTATTTTTTTTTTTTTTTTGTTACAAATCATGTATTAGATAAATGTATTGTTAAAAATCTATATAATTATTTTAAGGCGTTCGGGTATGAGCACAATAGTAATCGAGATTTAGACATTATTTAAAACGTCTTAATGAAGACTGTAATCAAGATTTATCCGCAATTTCTTCTCACAGGCACAAAAGTGTAGCAAAAAGATGTAGCAATCTAATCGAAGTTAATCTTAGGTTTTTTAATATCGTCCCACGAAAACTTAAACAAACCACTGTTCATGGAAAAGTAAATTTGCAAAAAGTCACTGAATATCCATTAAAAGTGAATTCAGACGTAAACATATTCCCTCAAGATAAATTTCTCGATTATTATATACACTTTTTTCATTGTTTGTCATACTTCATATCGGATGAACGATCTTCAACTTCGCCATAAAAATATCACGGTTATTTTTAGTCGCAGAACACGACCTCAAAGACTATAATGTGTCCCCGATAACAGTTAACGATGATAGTCAATAACTGGAAATTGCTTCACGAACAGCTTTGCATATTCAACCTTCAGAATTACATACGTGACCAAATACGCTATCGAAAGTTAGATTTCGATCTCGTTACAGCGATTTCGTAGGTACTGACGTTTCCCAACTGATAGGGAGCAGTCGCGATTCCTGAGACGTATGATTTCGATCAGAACGGTTCATTTGTATGACGTTACCGATCACTCGTGTAACGAGGCCATCTATCACCTTAAACTTCACTTCGCAACGCTCGATAACACCTGCAAAATTCCCTTCTCTGACAATTTTCTTTTCTAATCGTCCTGTTCCTTGAGAAAACAACAAACGAAAAGAGAGAAACACAGCAGTATCGTCAGTTTTAAGGGGCAATTTCGTGTAACCGGAGGAACGCGAGCAATGAGCTAAACCTCACAATAGAAAATCAATGCGAGCGCAATTTGTAATCAGAGCCTGGTTGCAATAGCACGGTTTGAAATTGCTACACTTGACTTAGAGCAATAACGAGAAAATTGGAGCGGCTGTGGTACGACAGTGAACACACCGGTCGAGGAAAAAGATGCTCGTGAACGCGCTCGGGTTCGTACAGTAGGCGAACGGGTAGAGAAACGTTTGAGCACTTTTTAAATTCTAGCTACCTAAAGGTCTATCGTGGAACTTTCGAATGTACCTGCCTATCCGATAAGAAGTGCACTCACAGGCCTTCGTTCTCCGAAACTGAACAATATCGTGTACCAGCTACGGCATGCCCGTAACAACGGTTTTCATTGTAATCCAGCTACAGTTGGTACGTGCTAAGTACGCGCAGTTAAGGGCTCCCCTATCTGGATTGGAGCCACTCGACGCGGGGTTCGGTTTACTCGACGACAACGACGACAACAACGACACACGCGACAGCCAGAGAGATATATACGTAGGTTGTTTCCCAACGAAATCATTTTTCCGCGACCAGCCAGCCCCATTGAACGAGCGTGTTTCGTCGTCGCTAGCAGAATCGAGGGAGAAACACCGGTAGTAGACGCGGGCGTATCGAGACGAGGAGGAGAGCATACGTGATCCAGCTTGGAATAGAGGCCACTTACACACGATGAAACGCAATACGGTTTTCACGAGGCGATACGCAACATTAAAGCACACGATGTAGGGGGATTTCGCTCGGAACGAAGAATAATTCTGGCAAGAATGTCGTTCGAGTAGCGGCTACAAAGTCCTGGACCCACGCCAACCTTCCTCCCTTCCCTTTTTTCTTCTTCTTCTTACCGCGGCTTTTGTCAAATCGCCGGCCGTCGAGTTATAAATTTCTTCTATTCCGCTGTAATGTGTTTCGTTCGGTCTCGCGGTAAATGTTTATTAACCGGTAATTATCAACAGACAGTTACTCACGGCTCTGTTGGAAGGTCTGGTGGAAAGAGGGGTGAGGGTGTAACGTCGCGCGAAAACGAGTAGTCACGAATGCTAATCGAGGGAGAGAGAGAGAGAGAGAGAGAGAGAGAGAGAGAAAAAAGTCCGGCATCCTTAATGGGAGCAATTAATTCCTGGCGATCAATGTTATTACTTTTTCGAGCATCTTAGATAGCCGGGAGTATATATTCCAATTTCTATGCGGGTCACATCCAGATCAGCCGGCCTTGCTCTCCGCTACCCCCCTCGTATACCCCCTCGCCCAATCGCGCACTCTACAAGAAGTTAGCACTTCTTTTATGGATGCCGGAATTGGAACACAGAATTGCGGTAGTTTGGCGGCAAAAGTATCAGAATGGTATGTATGAAATAAAACGCGATGAAAACCGTTGAATCCGTGGCTCTCGTGCGATACCTTCAATCACGGCGCGACGTTTCAAAATAAATACAGACGTTCGGAGAACGTACCGTACTTATTAAGCTCTCTCTCTCGTAACAACACGTGCACAGAAATTCCAGCGAAGTCGTAAACGTAAGGTCAGCGGAGCTTCGTGGACTAGAAAATAGGGGGGGGATTTGTCGAAAGTGGTCGTTCGACGATAAACAAAGTTTGTTTATATTCTTTCCCTTCGAATCTTCCGTTAGAGATACGGAGGAGCTTGTTTCAACGAAAACACGATCGACGTACGGCTCCCACTTCGTTCGAATGGAATAATAACGATCGATGTGCGTTATACCCTTTAAAAGAGCGCGAATCGGACGAAGATACCGGGTTGTGTGACCGTTCTCTAACGGCGCGCCAAGTGTAACTTGGCTAACGTATATCGTTCACGGATTGACAGGAGCAACGGAGCATATTCGGCGGCACAATGTACCGGTTGAAATTTATCTTAGAGCCTTGCTCGAATGATAGCGCGAGCCCATAAATCTGTAGTATAAAGCGTTACCTGATTTGTTGGCGGCCGTTGCCGTGTGGGTGAGCGTAGCTGCAGCGGTCAGCTTAGGCGGTTCTATCTTCTGCGGCATGCTGTGCGCCGGTATAGGGCCTGGATTCGTCATGGTGGTCATCGTGGTGGGCATCATCAGGGTCGACATGGTCAGCATCTTCGCGTTGCTCCTGTTTCGCCGTGGCGAAACTGTTTTCTCAGCGATCCGTCACGTGACCACGGAAGATTACTCCTACTCCTCCTCCACCTCCGCGGCGGCACCGAGAAAATTTTCCGCGACGTTACACCGGTTACTCCGTTGCGTTTGATCGAGGAGGGAAAACCGTTGGACAGGTGATACGGTCGCGTGATTGAAAACGTGCAGAGGGGGAGGGTGCGCGCGTGTGGATCGATGGGGAACGACAGCGATCGCAGTTACCGTGGATCAATCGGTGACATTAATGTCCTGCGAGCGTGGCATCACTCGATCAGTAATATTTTAAACTGACTAGCACCGGTGGTCGTCGTCTGTCGTCGGTTGAAATCGAGAAGTCACTGCATATTACCGCCAGCGATCTATTTATCGCGACGTCACGAAGATCGTGCTAACTCTTCTCCCCCGCGACATTACTTTACATCGTCGCGCTACCCTCTTACACTCGTGTACCGATACCTCTTGACATTTGCTTCCTTCGAGATCTTCTTCCCTACTCTCCAGTTTACTCGCTCCTGTGAAACTTCGCCCCGTGTCTCGACTCTCCTCGACGTTGAGCCTTTCTTTTCCTTTTCCCTTCTTTTTCTTTTCTGTACTTTCCACCCGCGATATTGTTAAAGGAACGGAGTTTAATACGAACACGAATACCCCGAAGATACTTTTCAGTTTCACGATCCTCGAAGGAGATCTCTCGATCCACCGTAACGCACCGTATTCGATGCTGTTACACGTGATCCTCGATTACCCCCGTTTTAAATTCGTGTCTCACTCACAATTGTTTTTCATATCACTCGTTTGTTAATCTGTTTCCTTGGTGTTTGCTCACTTGCACTTTTACCCATTCGCCAATAAATATATTCCGTAACGTTCGTGTGAGTTTCGAGCGTCGACACTGTTACGCAGTGGCGTGCGAGGAACGCACGCGGTGCTGCGTGGTGCGGCCGCGTTTACACGTAACGGAAGAACGAACGATGCACGTCACGACGACTGTTATCGTTGACACTTGACTGATCTGCGACGAGAAAACGTCACCGAGTTGCGGACGTCTCGCTATCTCGGCGTGCACGAGAGCACAGGTGTCTGCGTTGTGAGGAAAGAGAGAGTGTATGTCGAGAAAGGGTGAAAGAGAGAGAGAGAGAGCAAGAGAGAGAGAGAAAGAGAAGAGAGAGAGAGAGAGAGAGAGAGAGAGAGGGTAGACAGAAACGGCAACGACGACGGTAACGTCGACGGCGACTAGAACGACGGCGACGACGTTCTCTACGCTCTCCACGCTGCGCGCGTTACGTCACGTCCGGCCGAGCGTAGAGTCGGAACTCGTCTGGCGGGGAGAGCGCGAAGGGACGCCTGCCTTTGCCTGCCTTCCAGCCTGCCAGCCCTGGACGCCCGCCGTCGCGACGCCCAGAGGCGCCGGCGTTCCCGAGCGTCCGCGGAATCGCACGAGTTAAGACGCGAGCCAGCAGTCGCTTGTTCGCCGCCAAGCCGAAAGGGTTGTCCGATGTGCCGGCCCATGCACCACTGCGCTCGTCCTTCCGAATTATTCACGCTCCCTTTTTTTTTTCTCGTTTTCTGCTCGTTTACGTTCAATTTTTCTCTTTCTTCTTTTTTTTTCTACCTACCTTTTTTCCTTTAACGAAATATCATTGCTACGATCGCTTGAATTTTCAATGGATTCGAGGATAGTGGTACACGTTTGGGTGGTTGTTTCTCTTTCGTTTTAATGTAGATTTTAGAGAGAGAGGTTTTTTTTTGGAAGATTTGGGGAAACGTAAGACTGAGTGGATTTATAAATCGTTAAATAGTTAAGAATAAATTTATGATTGTCCTCTGTTGTAGAGTCGTTTATACGAATAAATATGAAGGGGTAGTTTTTTATCGTTGCAAACAGATTGATAAAATAAATTGTCAGAAGAGGGAGAAGAGTGTGGCATTAAATTTTCTTTCGTCCTGTTAAGTAGCATTACTGTTATGGAACAACGAAACTATAATTATTCGCTTCGTCGCGATTACTGCGTACATATTTTCTACGAGGAAAGTAATTCTCTTTATTGTAGTTTAGTTTGTTTTGGTATGATTTTTTCCATTGTAATTTAATAAAATTATTTATCTGGGGCTACTTGCTACATGAAAATCGTATTTTGGTCCCAGAAGAATTAATTTATAGGTACTTTAAGTACAATTGCAAAAATACTAATAATTATGGTGAGAGTTATGAAATAGGGACTACCTTTTAGATTAATCTATCTTGTAATATTCTAAAATTTCTAATAATAATGAAAAGGAACAAAGACGTTAGTTAAAAAAAGAAATAGATAATATAGAAACTGGAAGTTATGAATTCAACTGTTATTGTCTATTAGTAAATTTAAATTTATTTAATTTATTTAGTAATACTTTCTTCTATGTTCATTTTATACAAAAATGTATGAGTTGAAATTCCTTCAGCTACATGACATGAAATATTAACAAATAAAGAGTTCCATGAATTAAATTTTTAAAACTTCTGTTCGCTAATTTAACGATTATTACATTTTCTTTTATATAATACCTTTTAAACTTGTTAGTGTTTTTTCGTACAGTGACAGTCTATTTATTCTAATCAAACTGGTTATTTTCATCAGATTTATAAAATTGCATTTTCATATTTTTAATTTGAAAAGTATTTTCATAAATATTTAACAATTCCTTCCCTTTCCATTTTTCGCGATTAGATCTTCTAGGAGAAAGGTTCGTTGCCTTGCGATAGGTTTCTTCTCGATTAAGTCCATTTTAAGCAAAGAACAACAAAGCGATGTAAGTTTCAGTCGGGCATATTGCACTTGAATCACATTCGATATTAATGAACGTCATTCGTTAGCGGTGTTTTATGCAAATTTTTTATCATGAGAATCGTTGTTATTATCCTGATAAATCGGTAATTAATGTATCAGTAACCTACATTTACTGGTGATACAACCAATAAATTCAATGTCTAGCGTATTTATTTTATACATATACGACATTAGTTGTATATACAATATATTACATTGTTGTATGACATAACTTGATTTCATATCAAATAATGGTAATTGTACAAGGTTGATTAATTATTAATTGTTTATTAACTGATTTTGATTGAGTCTTGTAATTAATGCTTTTAATTATTTGTCCTCCGTCAAATGTGCATCGAAATATTATGAATAACCGCGTAAAGCGTTAATTTTTCGTAAATACGTTTACTGTTGAGTGAAAATAAAACGAATAATCGTACTTTGGTAGATTTATCGATTGAAATACGCTTCCAAGGCTTGCATTTAATTTTAGGTTCTTTGACTCGTTGCATTTCAATTCACGTGTATTTAAACTGAATTACATTTAGTTAAGTTTAAGATGTTGAAAATTATATTCAAGATTTATAGATAAGATATTGCAATTATTATCAGAAAATATTCTTTACGCACTTTTATCGTTAACTGTGTCAATTTTTACGATTTAGTTTACGAACGATATAGTATGAAAACAGAAAACGGTACTGCTATAAAAATTAATTTATCAACTACCATTTAATTTTTCTAAAAATTTACAAAGTGACATTATTCATGGACACTCTTGACAATCATACGATGCTCCTTGATAAATTCAAAATAATTGTTACCTACGAGCAACGGTAGCGTACATTTGAACACTGATCGATACATCGCGATGCGAAACCTTCAGCCTACCAGGCACGTTTTGACTTTAAAGGAAGTATGTTCGCTTAGTGCCATCTGCTGTGCAAACACTTTGCATTATGTCCCAGAAATATTCACTCCACTCGGAATGCCCCACAGATGTTTGAACTTTCGGCGATTGGCAGCGCTATTTCCATGCCTGATGGTTATCGAAAACTACTTTAGGATAGTTCGCGAAGCGACTTAATAAAAGAAAAAGGACATATCTGCTACTAGCAATTTGTTTACTTTATTTATGCAAATTTACAGTAGCAACAATCTGTCGAAGAATTCTACAGAATTACTCATTCCGTTACTCGTGTCCAAAATAAAAAGGATCACTCAAATAAAGTATATAGAAAAAAGTTGAATGAAAATGTAGGATGAATTTTCGAACAAGCTTCCTTTTTCTCACTTCCTGACACGACTCAAGGCGAAATTCTTTTAACGAAAGTGCGTAACACATTGCAGCTAATTCCAATAGAGACGGGACGGCGTAGATTATAAGTTCGAATTGCGATGAATTCTCGAGTCGTACCTCAACGTCAAGAATTTTCATAATTCCCGGAGTTTTTCAGAACGGAAGGATACTCGGGGATCTACTTTCTTCGAAAGTAATTATGCACCAAGTGTCTCGTAAACCATACAGTTTAAAAAGTTGGCCGCATAAGGCCGAAAATTTTCCGAACCGCGGCGGTAGTTTCGGTACAAAGGTTGTAGCGTGATTTCGTAGATCTGTAGTGAAATCTGCTGCCGAGTCCTCGAGCAACTTACCCTTAAGGGCATGGGATGTACTTGTTCGCAGTGTCTGTAGCCTGTTATCGTTGAATCTTCAATATCCTTTAGGAATCTTCCACCGAAGGTATTGTTACCAGAATAAATGTACCTTCAAAGGGAATCCACTGCTCTCCGAGTAAATGTTTTATTTGCAGTCGTATGCCAAAGAGCTGTGCCGGATTTTTCTGTATTTGTTTAAAGTAACAGTATAGAGGGTGTTGGAGCAAAAGTCTCTGTACCACTTCGGTGGTTTATTGTACTCACTGTGAGAGGAGTAAAAAGTGCTTAATTAACGTGCATTTATGTTCGGTGTAAAATAGGAAAATTTGTTTTCACATTTGCTAAGGATGTTTGATGTGCCTTCCTTTAAATACAATTTAAGTATTTCTTTCTTGCCCTGTATCGTACGAGGTGCATTTCTATTCGTTCTTTTGAGTCAACGATGTTAGTTATCGTCATCTTCAAGTGTCTCCATAGAAAGAAATAAGTTTGCATCTTCCAAATAATCTTTGTTGTTATTAGAGTAATTGTTAATAATCTTCTGCTGCCATACAATCTTTAAATAATATAACAACCAAATCGACTCTTCTATTTATATTAAATATTTCTTGCAAAGAGGTTCACTTAAGATATCATCGAAAGTAGATTTGACTCTGAAAGGATTGATTTTAGGATTCGTGTTGATTCAATATTTATTCTAAGGTTTTAGACGCTTTTTTTGAACACCCTGTGTAAATTTTTGTACGGAACTTCGAGCATATATGCGAAAAATTAAGTGAATCTGTGAAGGTGTTTTGAAATTATGAGGTATTTTTCACAAAATTCACTTATTCCTTGCTGCACACTTGTTGAGTATTTAGTTTAAACGTGCATTTTCTATGGTTTGCATTACAATTCGTATATTATTTAAATTCTAACTTGGAGTATCCTTAGTTTG